TTTAGGGTTTAGGGTTTAGGGTTTAGAGGAGCGCGACTAGGATGCCGAAAAGGGATTTCTGGAGTTCATCTTCTCGGAAATCAACATTTAATTGTTTTAGAAAGTCCACTTTTATTAAATTTGATTCTTCATTTCGAATTTGCTGCCACTCTTGCAGATCGGTGCATGCGCTTTTTAGTGTATGTACACCCCAGTTGCTCAGCGCATGCAGCAGCACATTTTCGTCAAAAGGATTTCCTTCATTTAATTTTGATTTTGTTTCAACAATTTTTGCAAAAGCAGCAAGAGGGAAGCCTCCTTGGTCTTCTTCTTCTGCTGCTGCTGCTGCTGCTGCTGCTGCTTCTTCTGCTGCAGCACCGCCTAGTTTGCTGCTGTTGAAGTAGTGAATATATGCTGCAGCAATTGTGTAGTCTGCTTGGGCTTCTAGCTGCCCCCTCAAGAAGAGAGCAGCAAAAGTTGCTGCTAGGCTTTTGGGGACTTTTGCTTCTGCTGCAGGTGCTGCTGCTGCTGCTGCTGCTGCTTTCCGTGCTGCTGCTGCTGCGGGCTTTGCTGCGGCTGCGGCCTTCGCTGCCGCTGCTGCTGCTGCTGCTTCTGCGGCTTCGTCCGTTGCGGACCCTCCCTCTTCTGCTGCTGCTGCTTCCCCTGCTGCTGCCAGGCCCTTCTCTTCTTCTTTTGCTGCTGCTGCTGCTGCTGCTTCCTCGTCCTCCTCGCCTTCTGCTGCTGCTGCTGATTCTGCACTTTTGCCCATCAGCATCGCCAGGAACTCCTGCAGGGTCACTTCCTCCTCTGCTGCTCCTGCTGCTTCTGCTGCTGCTTCTGCTGCTGCCGCCGCTGCTGCAGGGTCAGCAGCAAAGAAGTCCACTCCCGTGTCCTTCTGCAGCTTCTCCAGCTGTACGTACACCCCGAGGCGCTGGCGAGCTGCATATACACCTGAGAGCAGCAGCGACAAGCTGCTTCTTAGCTGCTGCTGCTGCTGCTTGATTGCTTTAAGTTTTTCATTTGCTGCTTGAACTTCTTTAGTTGCCATTTCCCTTTCTGCTGCAGCTTCTGCTGCTGCTTCTGCTGCTCCTCGGGCCTCTTCTTTCTTTTCCCTCTCCGCTGCTGCTGCTGCTGCTGCTGCTGCTGCTTCTGCTTCTGCTGCTGCTTCTTCTGCTGCTTGGGTCACTTCCTGAACTGTTGCAGCAAGCCCTTTGATGGGCCGCAGCAGCAGAGCGAACGGCGCTTCCTTCGCGTCCTCGCCGCTGCTGCTGCTGCTGACGCCGCTGCTGCTGCTGCTGCTGCTGCTGCTGCTGTCCTGCACGCGCAAAGCCTTCAAAAACTCTTCTTTTGCTGCTGCTGATGCCTGGTCCCATTGCTGCTGCAGTCGAGACCCCTCAAGCTTGAGATCTGCCAGTACCCACCTGGGGTCATCTGGGGGCAGCCAGGGGCCCCTGAGGGCCCCCAGGGGGCCCCCCCGGGGGCCCCCCAGGGGGCCCCCCCGGGGCCCCCGGCGAGCAGATAGCTGCAGCCAAAGGGCCCCCATTAGGGCCCCCACTGCAGCAACAAGAGCTAACCACTGGTAAGAGTCCAGTGGTACCCTGGGGGGCCCCCTGAGTCTGGGTTTGGTGGTGTGGGTGGTGGGGGCCTCTGCTGCTGCTGCTGCTGCTGCTGCTGCTGGCTCTCCTATATCCTTGTCAATATATTCCGGGGGTCCCATGTGGCTGCTGCCGCTCTCCTCGTCTTCTCTTTCAAGGACGAAGTCCTCGCCCGCGTCTGCTGCTGCTGCGGCCGCCATGGTTCGAGGTTTAGGGTCTAGGGTTTAGGGTTTAGGGTTTGCGCGCCGCGACCGACACCGCTCCTCGCGTGAAATAAACCCTCCAAATGAAAACAAACAAAAGAGTCGCAAATATTAATTCAAAGGAAAAGAAAATGCGCGGAGGGTTTTGCAAAAGCTGGCGGCGGGAGCTGAGCGACGAAGTCTCGCTCACCTGCTGCTGCTGCTGCTGTGCTGCTGCCGCTGCTGCTGCTGCAGCGGCCACTCTAAAGGTAAATCTGAAAAAAAAACTCCTTTTATTTCTTTAAATGCTTCTGCAGCTCAAATAAACTCAACAAACAGGAAAAGAGGAGCAGAAGCTGCAGCAGCCGCGCGAGCGGCTAGGCTGGTGTTCAGCGCAGGCGCTGCTGCTGTTGCTGTTGCTGCTGCTGCTGCTGCTGCAGTTCTGGGGTTTATTTGCAGCTACGGGGGCAGAAAAGCTGCTTAAAAGTGTTATTTTTACTCATTGAATTCACTAATTAACTTTTAAAACCTTAAAAACCGCAAAAAGGTGCACAAACGCGGCTGGCCACGGCTGGAGGCGGCGAGCGGCTGTTGCTGCCTCAAGAGCCCGGCTAAGGCCCTGCCAGCTGCGTTTGAAGCTTTTTTTGAGCTATTTTCGTTTTAAATTCATTTAATTCTTTGTTTGAAATTCATTTAAACTTTAAATTAAACAATTGAACCATTTTTTCGACGAGAAACTGCAAATCGAGCGGTGGCTGAGACCGAGCGCCAGCCTCAATCGACCCCGCCCCCCCTCTTCGTGTTTCTTGCTTCTCTGATCAAATTTTCTTTTTAAATTGAAAACTTTTAATTTTATATTTTTAATTTTCAATTTAAATATTTTTTTGTGCACAATTCGGAAGTCCAGAGCAGCAGCAGCGCCTGCAGCAGCAGCTGCAGCAGCAGCAGCAGCAGCAGTGGAACAGAACCACATGCTGCTGTGCAAGGAGCTGCCGCTGCAGCAGCTTCAGCAACGGCTGCAGCAACGGCTGCAGCAACGGCTGCAGCAACGGCTGCAAAAACAGCTGCAGGAACAGCTGCAGCAGCAGCTGCAGCAGCAGATTTTGCTGCAGCAGCTCAACAGATGGAGCTACGGAACTAGCTGCTGCCGCTGCTGCTGTACTAGTAGCTGCTGCTGCAGCAGCAAAAGCCTAACGCAGATAAATCCAGCTAGGTATATAGCTAAACCCTAAGCCCTTCAGCAAAGGGCTCAAACCCTAAACCCTAAACCCTAAACCCTAAGTCCCGAGCCTTCGGCTTTCAAGGCGAGGCCTTAACCCCACAGTCTTCAGCCTTAATCGCTAAACCCTAAACCCTAAACCCTAAACCCTAGGCCTTGACTGAGCCCTAATCATCAAACCCTAAACTCCAGAAGCTGGCCTTTAGCTGTAAACCCTAAACCCTACTCTCCGCCCCTTAGGTTGTAAACCCTAAACCCTAGAACCTGAAGCTGAAACCCTAAACCCTAGAACCTGAAGCTGAAACCCTAAACCCTAAACCCTAAACCCTAAACCCTAAACCTCAAACCGACTTGCCGCCGTGACCTCCCCAGAGGTCTAGGTTATACGGTTTAGGGTTTAGGGTTTAGAGTTTAGGGTCTAGGGTTTAAGGTTTGGGGTTTGGGGTTTAGGGTTTAGGGTTTAGGGTTCAGGGTTTAGGATTTAGGCTTTAGACAGACCTAGGGTTTAGAGCGGAGAGCATTCAGGGGAGTTTCAAACTTCGACAGAATTAGGGTTTAGGGTTTAAAGGGTTTAGGGTTTATATAAACTTGGGGTTTTGACTTTCAAGGGTCTAGGGTTTAGACAAACTTAGGTTTTAGGCTTCCGAGGGATTAGGCAGCAGCAGCAGCAGCAGCAGCAGTAGCAAATCACCATTTTCCTCTCAGTATACTAGAAAGCCTACAGACAGCAGCAGCAGCAGCGGTTGCTGCTGCTGCTGATGATTGCTGCTGCTGCAGCGGCTGCTGCTGCAGTTGCTGCTGCTGCTGCAGTTGCTGCTGCTGCAGTTGCCGCTGCTGATACTGCACGCAGTTGCCGCCTCATTTGCTGTCTTCTCTGCTGCTGCAGCAGCAGCGGCGTGCAGCTGCTGCTGCTACTTCAGCAGCAACATGCTGCTGGTACTGCTGCTGTTGCTGCTGCTGCTGCTGCTGAGTTTGTTATCTGCTCCCTTCTGCAGCACCTTTGGCTCTGGTTTATTTTGTTTTATTTTATTATTCATCTAGAAACTTGCTTCCGCAGTTTTGCTGCTGCTGCTGCTGCTGCTGTTGTTGCTGCGGCTGTTGTCAATGCTTCTGCTTCTACTGCTGCTGCCGCTGTTGTTCGATGCTGCTGCTATTGCTGCTGTTGCTTTTCATGCTGCTGCTGTTGATGCTGCTGCTATTGATGCTGTTGCTGTTGCTGCTGCTGTTGCTGCTGCTGCTGTTGCTGCTGCTGCTGCGTCTTTAGTGGAGGAGCTGAGCAGCTCCGTATGAGCTAAAACTGAGACCTTAAACCCTAAACCCTAAACCCTAAACCCTTAACCTTAAGCCCTAACAGTAAACCACAGAAACTAATGGTATATCGAATTTCACGGAACCTACAACTCTAGACCCCAAACCCTAAACCCTAAACCCTAAGCCCTGAACCTCCGGAGCTTGAGATCCAAGGCTGAGGGTCCTTAGCCTCAGCGTCAAACGCTAAACCCTCGTAACCAAACCCTAAACCCTCGTTACCAAACCCTAAACCCTCGCTGCCAAGCCCTAAACCGCTGCCGTGAAACCCTAAACCCTAGTCGCCAAACCCTAAACCCCCTACTACTTTCAATGAAGTACAACCGTTTTTGCTGCTGCTGCATACAGCAGCAGCAGCAGCAGTTGTTGTTGCTGCTGCATACAGCAGCAGCAGCAGCAGCAGTTGTTGTTGCTGCTGCATGCAGCAGCAGCACCAGCACCACCAGTTGTTGCTGCTGCATGCGGCAGCGGCAGCAGCAGCGACAGCAGCGCCAGTTGTTGTTACTGCTGCATGCGGCAGCAGCAGCGACAGCAGCGCCAGTTGTTGTTACTGCTGCATGCGGCAGCAGCAGCAACAGCAATGCCAGCTGTTGTTACTGCTGCATGCGGCAGCAGCAGCAACAGCAGCGCCAGTTGTTGTTGCTGCTGCATGCGGCAGCAGCAGCAAGAGCGGCGCCAGTTGTTGTCGCTGCTGCATGCGGCAGCAGCAGAAACAGCAGCGCCAGTTTTTGTTGCTGCTGCATGCTGCAGCAACAGCAAAAGCAATGCCAGTTGTTGTTGCTGCTGCATGCGGCAGCAGCTGAAGCAGAAGCAGCAACAACAGCAGTTGCTGCTGCTGTTCCTAGCTGTCTCGGGGGGCCCTTCAGCAGCAGCTTGCTCCTTTTTGAAACAAATTATAAAATCCCTTTTGTGCTGCTGCTGCTGCCTATATTCATTTATATTTATATTTATATATATATATATATTTGTATTTATATTTATGTTTATATTTATATTTATATTTATATTTATATTTATATTTATATTTATATTATTTATATTTATATTTATATATATGTTTATATATATATTTATATATTTATTTATATTTATTTTATTTTTATTTATTGAAACCATTTTCCTTCAATTGTTATTTTCCCGGAGTTGGCGGCAGCGGAGAAGGCTGGGGATCAGATTTGTTGAGCAAACCCTTTCTAGGGTTTAGGGTTTAGGGTTTAGGGTTTAGGGTTTAGGGTTTAGGGTTTGGGTTGGTTAGCGAGCGCGTCTCTGTTTGTGCAGAAGACAAAAGCAAAATATGAAATAAATAAAATAAAAAAATAAAAATAAAATAAAATAAATAAATTTAAAAAGTTGAATTGAGTGGCTGCGCTGGTCTGTGACTCGAGCTGCAGCAGCAGCAGCAGCAGAAGCAGCGGCTCCTGCGCTGCTGCTGCTGCTGCTGCTGCTGCTGCTGTTATTAGAAGCGCATGCATGAATTTTATTCGTTAAAAAAATTAAAAAAATATAAAAATAAAATAATATCAACATTATGTCTTTTGGTGTTGCGGGCGGGCCGAGCAGCAACGGGGCTGGGGGGGGGAAGGTGGCTGCTGCTGCTGCTGCTGCTGCAGCTTCTTGGGGAGTGAGAGTGCCTGCCAGCAGCAAGAGCAACAGCAGCAGCAGCAACCGCAGCAGCAGCAGCAGCAGCAACAGGCGTTGCCACCCGTGTTTAAATTTTCCTTTTCTTTGCTTCTTTATTTGATTCCTGCTGCTGGCCCTTCTGATCCTTCAGGCCGCCCGCAGCAGCAGCAGCAGCAGCAGCAGCGGCAGCAGCAGCAGCAGATCTTGTCTTGATCGGTCGCTTTATTTCTTGCATTTTCTCCCCTCTTCCCCCCCAAAATGTCAGCAGAGGAAG